ATTATTATTATTATTATTAAACTGGTCAATAATACCAAGTTACAGATTTTCTGTAGTAACAATTAACTAAATGTTTATAATGGTTAATCATTTTAGCCTATCACTTACTGAATAGGTTAGAACCATATTACTGGAATAAAAAAAATATTTGTATATATTTTTTTTACTTTTATTTATTTAATTTATTTATATGTTTTACTTTTTTCCTGATGTAAGTGTATGAGTAGAGGGGTGTAGCGTTATAGAGACATGCAGCAAACGTTTGCGCTCACTCACCTATGGAGGACGAAACCTGCAAAAACAATAAATAAATAAATACACAAATAAATAAATATGCAAATAAATAAATAAATGTCTGTATAAATACACAAATTCTTGTTTAAATACATATAGAAATAATTAAACATGTGATTAAAGTAGGCAAATAAATAAAATAAATTAGTGGACAAATGGAAAATGTTTAAGGAAATGCTAAACTCATCCTATTTATTTTCCTTTGATCACTAATTTATTTCTGAATGTAGTTCCACATTTATTTTTCCTCTGCACAACATGCTAATGAGAGGGTGTCAACCATGGACTTGGTCGGGGTAATGTCATAGCTGGGGGCGCGGCTTTCCCGCTGACAGGAAATGCATGGTGTTAATCCAATATGACCTATGTAAAGTCACTTTTTCCGTTTAACAGAGCAAGATACATAAAAAACTGAGCTGTATTGTCCATACAGTATCTGTGACTTTACGAACGACCCAAAGAAATGGCCAGTGTCGTTTCCTGACGTCATTTTTTTTAAACCCGATTGAGTCTCCAGCTAGAGACAACTCTAATATCAGTGTCCCATGGTCATCGTGAGATGACTGGTCTGGTATGAAGTAGTTTAATCGAGGAACAGACAGTTTTTCCCATTAGTTATCAGAACAGAAAATACAGGCGACAAATGTATGTTTATTAAGCAAATAACGGTTCAGTATTGCAATTAAGAGCTATGTAAGCATTAATATTTTACATTGGCCACTTAAAATCTTTTATGATTTAGCTCTCTCGTGATTATAACTACAAAACTAACCCTATGAAAAAGTGTAAGATAATAATCAGTCCCCTTGACTGATGAAGTTAATACGCATGCGCAGGCAAACGCTCAAGCGCGTCACACACGATCTGCCTACTCTTGGAAAATTGACACCCTCTCATTAGCATGTTGCGCAGAGGAAAAATAAATGTGGAACTACATTCAGAAATAAATGAGTGATCAAAGGAAAATATTTAGGATGAGTTTAGCATTTCCTTCAACATTTTCCATTTGCCCACCAATTTATATTAATTATTTGCCTACTTTCATCACATGTGTAATTATTTATTTATGTATTTAAACAAGAATACGTGTATTTATGCACACATTTATTTAGTTATTTATTGTTTTTGCAGGTTTCGTCCTCCATACTCACCATATTAGCAATTTAAAGTCAGAAGGAAGACGGAGGAATAGAATGAGAGGAGTGTGGGAGTGGGGACCAGAAACGAAGGGGGAGAGGCGTTAATGCAGCGCTTTTGATCTTCATTTAATAATTGAATAATAATCTCCCATGAGAAGTGACCTAGAACCGAAGAAAATAAATTGTTATTCATCTAAATACTGACACCTGCTGGTCAGTTGTTATTACTGCAACCTCCCATTAGGAGAAGAACCCGCTGAGTTTTACTCCATCCTCTCGGTGTCTACTGCTGTGACATTGACAAACGAGTGCAGTGAAGAAGGGACCGCGGCTGGGTTTTGAATTCTGACACTTGCACTGCCACTGCAACTTTTCTAGCCTGAAGTATGACACTTCCCGCGAGAGCTGCATTCACTTGGCGCAAGCGCTCCTCGTTGTTTATATAGCCTACGTTGCGTTACGTGCGTTTTCATCAGGCTCCGTCTTGGAATGGTAAGACTCATTGTCTATATTAGAGCTGCGCACTGGAGCGCCTGACGTCATTTTTTTTAAACCCGATTGAGTCTCCAGCTAGAGACAACTCTAATATCAGTGTCCCATGGTCATCGTGAGATGACTGGTCTGGTATGAAGTAGTTTAATCGAGGAACAGACAGTTTTTCCCATTAGTTATCAGAACAGAAAATACAGGCGACAAATGTATGTTTATTAAGCAAATAACGGTTCAGTATTGCAATTAAGAGCTATGTAAGCATTAATATTTTACATTGGCCACTTAAAATCTTTTATGATTTAGCTCTCTCGTGATTATAACTACAAAACTAACCCTATGAAAAAGTGTAAGATAATAATCAGTCCCCTTGACTGATGAAGTTAATACGCATGCGCAGGCAAACGCTCAAGCGCGTCACACACGATCTGCCTACTCTTGGAAAATTGACACCCTCTCATTAGCATGTTGCGCAGAGGAAAAATAAATGTGGAACTACATTCAGAAATAAATGAGTGATCAAAGGAAAATATTTAGGATGAGTTTAGCATTTCCTTCAACATTTTCCATTTGCCCACCAATTTATATTAATTATTTGCCTACTTTCATCACATGTGTAATTATTTATTTATGTATTTAAACAAGAATACGTGTATTTATGCACACATTTATTTAGTTATTTATTGTTTTTGCAGGTTTCGTCCTCCATACTCACCATATTAGCAATTTAAAGTCAGAAGGAAGACGGAGGAATAGAATGAGAGGAGTGTGGGAGTGGGGACCAGAAACGAAGGGGGAGAGGCGTTAATGCAGCGCTTTTGATCTTCATTTAATAATTGAATAATAATCTCCCATGAGAAGTGACCTAGAACCGAAGAAAATAAATTGTTATTCATCTAAATACTGACACCTGCTGGTCAGTTGTTATTACTGCAACCTCCCATTAGGAGAAGAACCCGCTGAGTTTTACTCCATCCTCTCGGTGTCTACTGCTGTGACATTGACAAACGAGTGCAGTGAAGAAGGGACCGCGGCTGGGTTTTGAATTCTGACACTTGCACTGCCACTGCAACTTTTCTAGCCTGAAGTATGACACTTCCCGCGAGAGCTGCATTCACTTGGCGCAAGCGCTCCTCGTTGTTTATATAGCCTACGTTGCGTTACGTGCGTTTTCATCAGGCTCCGTCTTGGAATGGTAAGACTCATTGTCTATATTAGAGCTGCGCACTGGAGCGGTATAACAATATATTACTACAGGTCCCAACACAGCCATCACTCGTCTCTCCCTTCATGCTCACCTTCATTATGTCTCACAGGCCTGAGGGAGCTTCCCCCGAAATGCAAATGTCTGATACAAACTTGCAACTGATTCTGCCAGAACTTCAGCCGATTGAAATGCATCCATAATCACGTGAAAACTTGTTTTTTTCCTCCTTTAACCTTGAATGAAAAGGAAAGACCTGTTTATGTGTTTGCGTGTGTACTGATTTCAGTGTTGGGCTAGTTACTCAAAGAATGTATTAAATTACTCATTACTAGTTACTCATTTCAAAAGTAATATTATAACTTTATTACTATCTGGCAACAGTAATTAGTTACACTAGCCTACTAGTTACAATACGTTCCCTACACGCCACACAGAAGTTGTAATTGTATATCTTCCCCATAAAATTCAATATATTTCTGCCTCATCATTTGACCAAAATCTACATTGGATGGCAGTCAGAAGTGTTTTTTTACAAACACTCAATGATGATTGATAGTGACTTTTAAGTAAACGTGTTGTATTGATTGTCATGTACAGGTGCATCTCAATAAATTAGAATGTCATGGAAAAGTTCATTTATTTCAGTAATTCAACTCAAATTGTGAAACTCATGTATTAAATAAATTCAATGCACACAGACTGAAGTAGTTTAAGTCTTTGGTTCTTTTAATTGTGATGATTTTAACTTTTCCATGACATTCTAATTTATTGAGATGCACCTGTATAGCTTGAAGTTAATTGTAGCTATGATTTCTCTGTAACCCAAATAATTATATTTCATTTAGTATTTTATCAAAAGAAATCACATAAGTTCATAAGATTTTTAATTATAGTACTATAATTTATATCGGGATCAGAGGGATGTGGGTGGGCAAGCCATGTAATGCCAGAGTAATGTAATGCCACAACTTACACATCAGTGTTCAGATCACCTTTTTTCATGATAAAATCAGTGTAATGGCAATATTTCCATCCCCTGAATGTAAGCTTTTCCATATTCCAAACTTTCCTGAAGCACTGGTGACTTCATGTGCCTGTGCGAGTCGTGAAAATTATGAAAATCTAGGAATTATTGGAAATCAGTAGGGGTTGAGGCATCAAAAGTAACTATGTAACTAGCTGTTTTATGGATGGTAACTGTAATAATATTACTGAAATCCTATTAGTAATTAGTTACACAACTAGTTACTGCAAAAAGTAATATTACAGTAAATAGTTACTAGTAACTAGTTACTGCCCAACACTGATTAGTACAATATATAATGGATACTAAAATAACATGCATTTAGCAGACATTTACATTTATTATAGACACCTTTATCCAAACTGACTTACAAAAGAGGTGGAACTAAGCAATTTGTCAAAGAGTCAAAAATATTTGTAATAAGAACACAATATTTGTTATTATACTAACACTAGTGTCCTGCAGCATGACAGCCAATACCTCATCTTATAAAAATTAACAGTTTTCTTGTATAGTTTTCCTTTATTATTCAAATATTTAAAATGAAAACAGTTGTAATATTTAAACATTACAGTTTTAGTATATATTATAGTTGTATAGTTTCTGTTTTGCTTTGTATTGTATTGTTTTTATTCCTATTTCCTATTATGTTCCAATTTTCCCCAAAGGACCAGAAAATTGGAGTACAGGAAATTGGAAATTGTTTTGCAGTTTCTTATACGTAAAGCTGACATGCTGACATTTTGGCTGGACCTACTGTATGTGTTTATGTATAAAGAAGCCAAATATGCCTAGCATTGTTTGAGCACAATGTGACCATTTTTGTGTGTTTCCTTTTTGTCATCAGACTTCGTAAGGAGGGCTACACAGTGCAGGTGAATGTCAATGACTACCTGGATATCTACTGTCCTCACTACAACAGCAGTCAGAGAGGCGTTGCCGAGCAGTACGTGCTCTACATGGTCAGTTATCGTGGTTACCGTACATGCGACCCACAGCTGGGCTTCAAACGCTGGGAGTGTAACCGTCCCCACGCCCCACACGCACCAATCAAATTCTCAGAAAAGTTCCAGCGCTACAGCGCCTTCTCGCTCGGATACGAGTTCCATGTTGGGCAGGAGTATTATTATATCTGTGAGTATAGTGTGCTTTACCTCAGCTATACAGACTTCCAAGTCTATTGTGACACAGCTATGTACATTATTATATTATAGTATATGAATGTCAGGCAACCTGTCCAGGACGTTGATCAAAAAGAAGGCAATAAAATTATAATTTAAAGGGGTCATATGATGCGATTAAAATTTTTCCTTTCTCTTTGGAGTGTTACAAGCTCTTGGTGCATAAAGAAGATCTGTAAAGTTGCAAAGACTAAAGTCTCAAATCCAAAGAGATATTCTTTATAAAAGTTCAGAGTTAACCTCGCCTACCTAAAACGACTCGTTCTAACACGCCCTCACATGTCTACGTCACGATGTGGGAAGATTTGCATAACGCCGCCCAAATGTTCACGCAAAGAAAGAAGGTGTAACTTTTATTCTCGCTGTAGTATTGTTGCCGCCCCCATGTCGTGAAGATGCTGTGTGTTTCATTGTGAAAGCGAAATTACTTTGTTTGGTCTTCCAAAAGAGGACGATATCCGCTTCGTCATGCCTAGAGCTGATCTGTGCTGGTCGCTGAGGGAATACATCAACTTAGTGCTGTGGATCGCC